TTAACTCCATATAACTTGGAACCAGTAGACTGTGGAAATTTAACGTCTTTGAAAGAGCTGTTCATTTTGTCAAGAAAAACAACTTTGCCCAAGACATCAAGTCTCCAAAACGTCAGAGAAAGAAGTTAGATTGTGGCACCATCTTTGCGGAAGAGTTTTGAACTATTTGTTTATGTCAATAGATGGTCCTTATTATTTATGATAGGAAATTTTGCCGAAGACACCAAGTCGCTGAAATGCTTCGTTTCGGAGTTATTAATTTTGCTCCACTAGGTTGCATTCCTGGCCCAGTGTGCATGGGATGAAAGCAGAACAGAAAAGCATAATGCATGATTTTATTACGAGAACTATTTTCTTTTTACAAGAGCAATTCAAGCTGAACTTTGCATTAGGTCCTAAGTAACATTGATCGATTCTCTTCGTCGACTTTCTTTTTCGTTAATAACTTATTCACAGAACCGTTTCTTGATGTGTTTGTCGTATTGGATGCTAGATAAAAGCTTCTTTTATCGATTTATGTGCTGAAAATACCTGGGAATGTCTTTACATGACCGTGGGGATGCAAAGAGAAAGTTGACGAAGCGAATCTGTCAATATTACTTAGGACCTAATGCAATGTTCAGCTTGAATTCATTATTTTATTTGAGGGCAAATGTATGTTCCTATTCTACGGGTGCAACCGATGAATTTTACAAACATTTAGAAAAGTTTTGAATGGTACATTAACCTTTATGAAAAGTTATGCGTGATTTCAACCTTTTTGCCCTAGGACTGTCACCATTCCATGTATTTCGACCAAGATTCGACCGTGTCACCCCATGTATATGCGAGCGAGAACGGAAGAATCATGGAGATTACTGACGTTTTTCTTACGCACACTACGTCGCGTATACGTATACACGAAATGTTTTCATGCTCATGCTAACAATTTTGTTGATTTTCTTTGCGCTCCGCTTGGAAGTACCGGAAAGTTTTGATTCTTTTCTATGTTGTAAAAATAAACCACTTATTTACATTTCTGACAAGATGCAACTGAATGCTTATAATTGTTTTAAAATAACTGTTTCATGGCCAACTAGTTTTATTGCGCTTACTTATAAAGCAACGAAAGGATTTATTTTTTGGTTTTATAAGGGCAATTCATATTACTTTTTTGTATACTTCAAAGCAATCATAAAACCTTTCATAAGTGAAAATAGCATAAGCATCAGTTGGTGTTTAAATTAGCTTTATAGGGGTTTTGTAGATAGCTATAAGAATGTTTCATGACTTGCATTGTATATGACCGTGATAAAGCTGTAGGTAATGGTTGCAGCTGCAATAAAACCTTTATAAATTTTGAATATAGCCAAGCAGCTCTAGATTTGTTACTTGGGATGCCAGCTCCCACGATAGGTGAAGTTAAGGATGCTATCCGACAGCTTAAGAACAACAAAGCAGCTGGGAAAGATGGTATCGCAGCGGAACTGGGAAAGAACAGCTACCGGAGGAGTGGAAAAAGGGAGTAATATGCCCAGTGTATAAAAAAGGCGACAAACTAGAATGTGAGAACTATCGAGCGATCACTATTCTTTAGTGCTTTCCCAGATCATCGTTCGCCGTTTATCGCCACTAGCAAGCAGATTTGTGGGAAGCTATCAAGCCGGTTTTGTGGACGGACGATCGACAACGGACCAAATCTTTACGTTGCGGCCGATCCTCCAAAAGTGTCGTGAATTTCAAGTCCCTACGCACCATCTATTCATCGATTTCAAGGCCGCTTATGATACTATTGACCGTGAAGAGCTATGGAAGATTATGGACGAGAACGGTTTTCCCGGGAAGCTGACCAGACTGATAAGGGCTACGATGGATGGTGTACAGTGCTGCGTGAAGATATCGGGTGTGTTATCGGACTCGTTTGAAACTCGCAAAGGACTTCGACAAGGCGATGGTCTTTCCTGCCTCCTGTTCAACATTGCGCTAGAAGGTGTTATGAAACGTGCGGGGCACGATCTTCAATAAGTCCAGCCAGTTCTTCTGCTTCGCTGACGACGTGGACATTGTCGGAAGAACGTTTCAGGCCGTGGCGGAGCAGTATACCAGGCTGAAACGTGAAGCAGAGAAGGTTGGATTAAAGGTGAATACATCGAAGACAAAGCATCTGTTATCTGAAGGAACCGAGGGCGATAGGGCTCGCATAGGCAGAAGCGTGACAATCGACAGAGATGAGTTCGAGGTGGTGGATGAATTATTATTGCCGGAAGTCGTGCTTACTACGGACTCCACAAGACCCTGAGGTCGGGTAAACTTCAGCTCCGTACTAAATGTACCATGTACAAGACGCTGATAAGACCGGTAGTTCTCTGCGGGCACGAGACGTGGACGATGCTCGAGGAGGACCTGCAAGCACTGGGTGTTTTTGAACGACGAGTGCTTAGGACCATCTTTGGCGGAGTATGTAAGAACGGTGTATGGAGGCGAAGGATGAACCACGAGCTGGCCCAACTTTGTATCCAGAAAGTTGCGAAAGCTGGACGGGTACTATGGGCGGGACACGTTTTAAGAATGCCGGACAACAATCCCCCAAAAAATGGTGTTTGCCTCGAATCCGGCCTGTACAAGACGAAGAGGAGCACAGCGAGCAAGGTGGTTAGACCAAGTGTAGCAGGATCTTGGAAGTGTGGGACGGTCAAACAAATTGGAGACAAGCAGCTACGGACCGAGTGAATTGACGTAACATTGTGATGCAGGTGCAATCCTGAGCGATGTTGGACCAGGATAAGTAAGTAAGTAAGAACCTTCATAACACCAAAATTGTTACTTGGGATCATCTATAAGGGTCGAATGATACGTGCATTGACAAAAAAAAACTCCAATCAGGTCTGGGCGTTCTGTCCGAGTATTTCAAAAGCTGTAAAAGATTTGTATCAATGCAGCTAAAACACAGACCATACTATTTCTGCACTTCAATTCACCTCGGCTTGTCCCGCCTAGTAAGTTGCAAGTATACCTTGATAATACTCCCATTGAATGGTCGAGTGAAGTCGTCTACCTTGGTCTCACCCTTGATAGCCTAGTGGCTGTTCCGTTCCCATGTGGACAGAACATCCACCAAGTGCAACATCTTGATTAGGTTGCTCTACTCACTTATCAACAGAAAGTCCACCCTTTCTCTTAAAAACAAACTTGCCGTCCACAAGCAAATCATCCTCCCCGCCATTGAATACGGAAGGCAAAGCTGGGAGAGCCGTGCTAAGTGCCATCACCTCAAACTTCAGAGGATCCAGAACAATATCCGTAGGATGGTCCTCAACAGTCCCCCGCGGACTCGAAATTCTGAGATCCACCGCCTGGCTGGTCTTCAGACACTAGAAGAGCTGAGTACGCTCATCCTCGAAAGGTTTAGAGACGCCTGTCTGAGATAAAATCACCAGATCATACGCGATCTTGCTAATTAGGTTAAGTTATTCGTAGTTAGGTAGGATATCAAATTCTTTTCTTAAATTCAAGAAAAATGCACCCCAAACGTCAACACCTAAATTAGAATAACAAATTATACAAACATGAAGAGCCCTTCTGGCTAATCAATTGGAATGTATGAAGATTGTAAAACCATATTCAATGGAAAATAAAACGTAATTTTACCACTACATTCCCTGATTTAAATATTCCTAGTATAACCCTGACAATTCTAGATAGAGCTGGAATTAGAGCGCAACAGCTTTTGTGAACAATGATTTCTTTCTATGATTTCTACAAAGTCAAGACTCGCCAACGCAAATCAACATCACCATCGGGTAAGGGAAGACTTCCCCTTCCCGATGGTTATGTTGGTTTGCGTGGACGTGCCTTGAATTCATAGAAATCATCTAGAGACGTCATTGTTTACTAAAGCTGTTACGCCCTAATTCCAGCTCTATCTAGAATTCCAAGGTTGTGGTTTGGAGACTCAATATTGGACTGTAATGTATTTTGTAGAGCATGATTCATGATCGCATGCACACACTTAGATTTTTTTTGCCGAGATGGGCACCGAGCAGCTTGGCATTTTATTTTATTGGATGTCAGTGAAAAACTTGCCGAGATTCAGCTAACAAAACGGGAATTTTGCCGAGATCTCAGCTAACAAACATAAATTTGGCTGAGATCTCAGTAAAAATACATGCCGAGCCAGCTCGGTGGTGCCGGTGGTGCTCGGCAAAAAAAATCTAAGGCTGTGTTCCATTTGGTGAATTTTCACTTAATTTTGACAGATGGAAAATTTTCAAATAAACGTGCTATTGTACTAGACTTATTTCTGACAGACTAGGAATCAATTTTAACAAACACCTTTTCGAAAATCGGACAATCAACAACAGAGGGATCTTCGAAAATTATAATTTATTTTTGAAGTGCAAATTCTCCAAATGCAACACAGCCTAAGTGTGCAGGGTTGATTGTGTATGAATAATGTCCTAAATGATGGCTTACACATTGCGTTCACTCAAATTCGCAAAAACGTTGATCACTCATAGACTGAGTAATATCTTACTCAAATATGATCAAATGTCATTCACAATTAAGTGACACTTACTCATATATGCGTGACATTTACTCATATTCGAGTAAACATTTACTCAATCTATGAGTCCGACCGACGTTTTAGCGAGTTTAAGTGAACGCAACTCAAATATGAGTTACATTCAGATGTCGTGTACGAACTCTATAAAAAAAAGTGCCTCTCCTCCCTTTACAGAGCCCTGGACCGCAATTGTGTATAATTGCTTCACAAGAACCTTTACAAAAACGCTTGCCGATTCACGTCGCATCTGCTTCATTCATTATAATATCCTTGAGATCATTTTCAGTCCCCGATTGAGGTCATTCTGTTGACTCACTGTGCACTACACACAGTGACTGCCAACGACTGTGTGGAACACATGGAGACGCTTGGTTGGCAATTTCGTTCACTTTCGTCTAACACACAGCGTCTCCATGATTGATGATACAAAGGGCTGTAGCTGTTAGCTGTTCCATACCTGTTTTCCCTGCTCAGCATCCTTGATACAGAACACCTCCGGGTACTTGAACAATTGCTCCATCACATTTTGACTAATCAATCCCACCTGCTGTCCATCGATGACGAAGGGACGACACTCGCCCTTCGCTAGGCCTACAGAAATAAAGGCAAGAAAGTGAAACAAATCAGTCTCGCAAATAAATCGCCATGGGGAAATCAATTAAGACCATAAAGATACGTGGTCCTATCCTAGGACCGAGGGAAACTGTGTGGGTTGACAAACTGGTGAGAGCGAAATTCCGACCATCGACATCGGGCGAGATAAGATTGCGGTCGGTGCTGGGTAGTTGGTGTGACATTTTTCTTTTTTCTTTAAACGATTAATCCACATTCAGGTTGAGGATTTTGTTTTAAATTTGTAATGCCATTCGACATGTCTTCCGCGATCATTTAATTTCGATTTTTATCCCCCTCGTCGCCCCTATCGAGTCGCTGAACAGCGACAGGAATTTATTTACCAACAAATAGGTATGTTTTTCTCGCACACGGGGGAGACGCTATCATAAATAAACAATTTTGCTAAAAATAAATAAATCGCGAAATGGAAGGTAGAGGCGCTATGATCCGTAAGTTGTTACGCCGAGGGAGCAATAATAGTCGGCAGTACACGGTATGGCCGCAAGGAACGGTTCAAGGCCTCAACGTAGATGACTATCAAATTTGGGTGTATGATTTTTCGTCACTGTTGATGGCAAAATTCACGCCTTGCTCGAAAAACGTACACTTCACACAAGTTAAAAAGCTATGTAGAACGGTCATGCCCAACATTAAGGCATTAATGCAAAATTATCTTCAAGGCTGATCACTTTTTTTTTTCGTTTAAAGATCAAGATGGTCACCTTCAAAAAAAAAGTACGGATGCTTCCGTAGAACATATTTCTACTTCTATTTACACTGAAAACTGCACCGTGAAAGTGAAAAAACCCTTTCGAATTTCATCAGAATCCGCATCGAAAAGTGTTATTGACCCAAGGTTTCGCCTGCGGTTGTAGCAATCCTACTTCGCTATCGATTTTATGCAATCGACATTGGTCACAGGATGATATCAAGCTATGGGGTTGCAGAATTCACACAGCCAAGATTTCCGAAGCAATTTCGTACTCACCATTCAGGTAGAAACAGTTAAACTTCTGAGCTAACTTTAACAATCTAGACATCTTCGGTTCCTCGTCACTAATATTCGCACTCATCGCTTAGTTGCTGCGGCTATCAGTCGGTTCGTCAGTCAGCCAGTCAGTCAATCGGACAAACTACCTTCGCTGCTAATGTTATCGCTGCTACAGATGATGAGAACGTCACACTACCCACTCAATACCACTATACAGTTCACCACATACACCAATTATTCTCCCCGTGTGATGGCAGATAGATAGCTATAGGGTGCCGCACACTGCTGCACTGCCTTATTCCACTGGACGACTATTGTTGACGTCGTCGCCGTCGCGGTGTGCAAGTCCAACTGTGTGTTGTTGGATGGGAAATGTTTTGACTTTTCTCGATCAGTTTTATCAGCTGGTTTCTGTTGAACTGCGAAGCGAAAGCGAACAGTCAAAATAATGGGGAAAACATTCACTCGTTCGAGCGAAAGGTTTCTCAACGGTTTGGGAAACATTTCACAGTAGGAGATGCTGAGGTGATGTAACAAGTTTTCGATGTTTGTTACAAGACCCTTTTATACTTCAATTGTAAATTTGTAAAAAAATAAAAATAAAAATAAAATAAATTGTAAATAGTTTATAGAAGGATATTAATTGCAAACATCAATGATTATTTTACTTATTGAGACAGAGCATTTCCTGGCCAAATAGAAAAAAGGAGATCGAAGTAGGTCGCACTGGATAAATTACGTGTTTTGTTTTGACTGCGGCTTTATTTTCACTAATTTTATGAACTTTGTGTTTTTTTTAACTTTATTTTAAGTAAAGGTTTTATTTGTTATTTATTTGTTATTTATTTAATTACATCAACAGGCTGGATGAAGCCCCAATGATTTAAACCTTATCAACTATGGTAAAAAAAAAAAAAATACATTCAAGCATGGTCATAACATAAAAAAAACATTAAAAAACGAATATCTTATAGTCAATATCTTAACTCCTGCCGGCGAAAAACAGAAGAAAACTTTCGACGAAGCGCATCACGGGAGAGATGAAAGTCGAAAACGGATGCAACTCTGTTGAATGTTCTCTGCAGTCCGCAAATCGCACCGTACGCTCCATAATTTGTGCGACGTAGAGGCAGTCTTAGCATAAGGTTATTACGAAGCGGTCGGGGTTGAACATTCAGGTCAATTTGCCTCAGGATAGCCTCACAATCTGTCCTTCCTTGTAGAATATCGGCCACGGTAAGGGCTCTGTTTGTGTCTCTTCTAGTCCGGAGAAGTTCTAGGTCGATAAGTTGACAACGGCTTTCGTAGCTTGGTAATCGAAACGGATCGTTCCAAGGCAATCTACGCAACGCAAAACGAAGAAAGCGACGTTGAACAGATTCAATTCTCTCGGCACCGTTGTTGTAGTTTGGGTTCCAAACCGCTGAACAATACTCAAGCGTCGATCGAACAAGCGAACAATAGAGAGATTTTAGACAGTAGATATCAGTGAAGTTTTTAGCTATCCTAAAAATGAACCCTAAAGTTCTTGACGCCTTATCAACAACATATGCAATGTGTTGCTTGAAAGAAAGCTGCGAATCCAAGATCACACCCAAGTCTTTCACCTGATTCACGCGTTCGATTGTCGAGCCAAGCAGGTCATAACTAAATATTATCGGTTGTTGTTTTCGTGAGAACGTAATAGCAGAGCATTTGGCTGGGTTCACTACCATTCTGTTTAACCTGCACCAACTAGCGAATACATTCAGTTGACGTTGAAGAAAGTGACAGTCAGCAATGGAGCAGATTCGTAGGAAGATTTTGAGGTCATCTGCATATGATAACCGAGGAGCTTCGATGACCAGATGCACGTCGTTGAAGTACAGTATAAAAATTAACGGTCCCATGTGGCTTCCCTGAGGTATACCTGATGTGGCGAAGAAGCTAGCTGATCTGCAATCTCCTATGGCAACTTTTAGTTGCCGACCGGTAAGATATGATCGAAACCAACTCAGAAGATTACCGCATACACCGAGCCTGCCGAGTTTAGCAATCGCAATAGCATGGTTCAACTTGTCGAATGCTGCGGATAGGTCTGAATAAATAACGTCCGTTTGAACCCGATCCGACATGCTTTCGGTTATATACGATGTGAGACACAGCAGATTGGTAGTTGTGGAGCGGCCGACAGTAAACCCATGTTGATCAGCACTCAAAAACTGCTTGCAATGGGACAGCAACGGTTCCATAATCACTAGCTCGAATAGCTTCGAAACGGCACTTAACGATGTAATTCCTCGATAGTTATCCACAGCTCGTTTCCTTCCTTTTTTGTGGACGGGAAACATGTGCGCAAATTTCCAGCAAGATGGAAATATGCCACCTGAGAGAGACATTCGGAACAGGCGAAGAAGCGGAATTAACAAGCTAGCAATATGTCTCTTCAAAAATACAGATGGAACTCCATCAGGTCCAGGATTGAAGGATGACTTGAGCAGAGTCGCGGCCTTAGAAATCATTTCTGCATTAACATCAATTGCACCCAGCGTTTGATCGTTTACTGGAACGTTCCTGGCAGCCAGGTTAATATGGTCGTCAGTTAGTGTCTCATTAGTGAATACACTGGAAAACTTTTCGGAAAAAAGGTGGCATATATCCTGAACAGTGGCAGCAACTTCTCCGTTGAATTCCATAGACGATGGGAGGCCGGATTCCCTGCGTTGCTCGTTCACGTAGTTCCAAAAGGATTTCGGGTGTAGCTTAAGTTTGCGCTGGATGCCTCGTTGGAAATTTGAAAAGCATTCACGACTGACTCGCTGGTACATGTGATTCAGCCTCACATTATGTAGTTTCAGAGGAAGTGTGCGATACTTCGTAAATCTTCTCAATGCTGCTCTCTTGATTGACTTCAACCTACGTAGCTCTCTCGTTTGCCAGGGAGGGTGAGACCCTTTGTGGTGAGTTCTTTTCGGGACGTGTCTGTCAATGACATATGCCAAGACATGTGAAAAGGTTTGCGCTGCAGCCTCAACGTCATCTGGATCAAGGATGTTCTCCCATACCATGCTAGACAATACATCTATGATGCTTACCTTACCTTACCAATCAGGCTAAGGCCTTGTTGTCCTCTGCTGTCCGAAGAAGTCGTCTCCACTCTACTCGATCCATGGCCACAGTTCGCCAGCCTCGTAGTCTGCGAAGGGTCCGCAGGTCACCTTCTACTTGGTCGATCCACCTTGCCCGCTGCGCGCCTCTTCTTCTTGTTCCTGTTGGGTCGCTTTCTAGAACCATTTTCACTGGGTCGTCGTGCGGCATTCTTACGACGTGCCCAGCCCACCGTAGTCGCCCAATTTTTGCAATGTGGACGATGGATGGTTCTCCCAGCAGCTGGTGCAATTCGTGGTTCATTCGCCTCCTCCACGTTCCGTCATCCATCTGCACTCCACCGTAGATGGTACGCAACACCTTCCGTTCGAAAACACCAAGGGCGCGTTGGTCCTCCACGAGCATAGTCCAGGTCTCGTGGCCGTAAAGGACCACCGGTCTAATCAGCGTCTTGTAGACAGTCAACTTCGTGCGGCGGCGAATTTTATTCGACCGGAGCGTCCTCCGGAGTCCAAAGTAGGCACGATTCCCTGCCATAATGCGTCTTTGAATTTCTCTGCTGGTATCATTTTCGGCGGTCACCAGTGAGCCCAAATACACGAACTCATCGACCACCTCGATTTCGTCACCGTCAATCTGAACTCGGGGTGGGAGGCTAACATTGTCTTCCCTAGAACCTCTTGCTTTCATATATTTTGTCTTTGATGCGTTGATGGCAAGTCCAATCCGTCTAGCTTCAGCCTTCAGTCTGATGTACGTTTCCGCCATCATCTCAAAGTTCCGTGCCATAATGTCAATGTCATCGGCGAAACCAAGGAGCTGGATGGACTTCCTGAATATCGTGCCACTCGTGTCTATCCCAGCTCTTCTGATCACACCTTCTAACGCGATGTTGAACAGCAGACACGAAAGTCCATCACCCTGCCGTAACCCCCTTCGAGATTCAAAGGGACTCGAGAGTGTCCCCGATACTCGAACAACGCACGTCACTCGATCCATCGTCGCCTTGACCAATCGCGTCAGTTTATCCGGAAATCCGTACTCGTGCATAATCTGCCATAGCTGATCTCGATCGATTGTGTCGTATGCGGATTTGAAATCGATGAACAAATGATGTGTGGGCACGTTGTATTCGCGGCATTTCTGCAGAACCTGCCGAATCGCGAAAATTTGGTCCGTGGTAGCGCGGGCACCCATGAATCCCGCCTGGTATTGCCCCACGAACTCTCTTGCATATGGTGACAGACGGCGGCATAGAATTTGGGAGAGTACCTTGTAGGCGGCGCTCAGCAGTGTGATCGCGCGGTAGTTGCAGCAATCCAACTTGTCGCCCTTTTTGTAGATTGGGCATACGACACCTTCCATCCACTCCTCCGGTAATATCTCCTCCTCCCAAATCTTGGCAATTACCCAGTGCAGCGCTCTAGCCAGTGCTTCACCACCGTATTTCAATAGCTCACTTGGTAGTTGATCTACACCAGTTGCTTTGTTGTTCTTCAGCCGACCGATCTCCTCCTCAACTTCTTGAAGATCAGGGGCCGGTAGCCTGTCGTCTTCTGCGCGTGCTCCAAGGTCTGTTGCCGTGCCACCTTCGTTTTCTGCTGCTTCACCGTTGAGGTGCTCGTCATAGTACTGCTTCCACCTCTCAATCACCTCACACTCGTTCGTGAGAAGGTTACCGTCCAAGTCCTTGCACATATCGGCTTGCGGCACGTAGCCTTTGCGCGAACTATTTAGCTTCTCGTAGAACTTCCGTGTGTCGTTTACGCGGTACAGATTTTCCATCGCCTCGCGATCTCGATCTTCCTGCTGACGCTTCTTCCTTCGGAAAACCGAGTTTTGTCTATGATGCTACGGTGGTCAGCTTTACGGAAGTCATAAGAAACCGTAGCAGTATAGTCGCCAAAATCACGCACGAGTTTGTCCTCAACAGTGACAATTAGAGGAGGGTGATGTGGAACTAGCTTAGTTAGTGCACAAGGAGCCGAGGAAATTGATGGAGCCCTGTCCTGTGTGCTCACGAAGCAGAGGTCCAAACTACGACCATTTTCATTAACTACATGGTTAATTTGAGAAAGCGTCGCTGCGCTGTAGTTGTCGAGAAGGCTAATAGCTCCTGCGTGAAATGTAGATCTATCAGGATCTGGATACAGGAATCCGCTATGAGATGGACT